GACTTGACGACCGAGAATAGCGATCGCCATAATTATCCAACAAACCATGTAGCAAACGTGCAGGCAAAAGCACTTGACCTTCTGTAGACGACAAAAGTAGAACACTAATTGTGGCATTGGTGCGTTTTCTGCGTTATTCTTCTGAAAAAAAGTTTGGAGCACCTTATTTTACCCTTGAGAGAGCAACCAATACGAATACGTTCTCGACAGATTCTTTTCCTTTTTTCTTTACTATGTTTAAAGAGTAATTTAATAGTGAATTGGTAAATTTTTGGTTTAATTTAGAATGTGTTACCGGTCCATTTCGTACCACTACTTCCATATTTGTGTGCAAGAAGCACGTCAGGGGCACGCATTCAAAGACAGATGGTAAATGAATTGCCCTCTTGCTGGAAGAAAAACTAAGGAGACCTATGATTGCCTTGCTTCATTTTCGCGTGGATTTGACCAGGAAATGCTTTGAACTTCCCATGGAACTTTGGAAGGAGACCTAGATGTATCGATAGAGTCTTGAACGCTGATTACAAATATGGACACTAAAACTGCTACGTGAACTTCCTAAGAAAGTTATGAGCCTTCAAAGTTGGCAAAAACGTTACTGAGGCGAGCTTACCTGGTGGAATCACAGTCGCCGTGGCTCTGCGCCAAAAACGAGTCTCATATTCGTAATCAGGGCACCCATTTACCCTTATAGAACAAGTTCCAGGCAAAAAGCAACCGTGTTTCCATATAGGTTGCACCTCATCATTAGCGTTCTTTGGTTTGCAACTTTTAAGGCTCACAGTTTCTTACAGTTTGATAAGCGTTTCTGTGCATATTTGTATTCACGGTCAAAACTCCACGATTACCCAGGCCTCTTAGAGTTCTTGCGGACTTCAAAATATTTTGAGTTCTCATCCGGTGTTGACGTCAGCGAAGAAAATACCTTACTTTGCGTCTTCACTAAAACGGTCGCAGTTCGACGGCGAGAAACAAGCAGCTTTCATCGGTGGGTGAGGACAAACGCGGTGAGAAAAGATTGCTGAGGATGGGGCTGATGTGATTGGATTTCTAAATCACATTCAGGAACCGCTACAAATTAGCTATCATTGCCGTACACTTCCAAATACCGGGTCTCTAACCGTCATGTGAGGCGGGGTTCTCCAAGCATATAAAACCTATGCACGAGTGCTAGTTGAATCTGGAGCTACTATGTTTAGCCCAACAAAGATAAAGGATGTAGTTGCATCGGAAAAGGTCCAAAATCATTTCACAGGCAAGATTCTCATTCGTTGTAAGAGTTTTCCGATACCCACATTTCCATAGCATATTTCAGGCAGAACAGCGGGTAACTTCGACCTTGCATCGTCTTCCAGTCCCGCCCAGACCCGCGTCCGACATGGCATTTAATCGTGTGTCCAGAATCCACTGGTATAGCTCTGAATCCGATTCACGATGACTAGGACCTGTGAACTTTTTGTCTAAAGGCCAGACAGGTGCAATGCGTACTAGAAGCGAGGCAAGACCGAATATACAGGGGCAGGGGCCAAAGACATTTTGCATCCACTTTCCAGATGGATTTAAGCACATTTTACTCAACTCAGACCGAACGGTTCCAACTTATTATTAAAGAGTGCATTCCATTCTATAAGAAAATCTTCATAGTGGCCACGTACGTGGACGGCATCAGAAGAATTAGCCCTGGAAACATGGTGCACTGGTCGATCTCAATGGGGTTGTTGTGCAAAAAGGATCCAGACCTGGTAACTCAACGACCTAATATACCTGAAAGCGCTAGTGTCGAGACGGGGATTTGCACAGTGGTAGCTAATGCCTCTAGAAAACTATCCAACATTAAATCGATTCACGAAATTGCGTAAGAGCTTCAGGCTGAAGCTCTTACGGTAGACCTCCTTGAGCCTGACGACGGTGACAGATGACGTCATATTCTGAAGACGGTGAGGGCAGTGAAGGAGAGCCTGCGTACACTAATAGAGGAACACTTAGGGAATACTCTGCTGAGGAACTCCCGTCAACGACAGCAATCTCTGCGAAGAAAAAAGAGCCGAAGTCCGACATAGGCAAAATGTCTTTTTTTTTGGCCCCCCCTGGACACTTGACTTGTCCAAAGACTAGCATTGAAGCCAGAAGTTTTTCGTTCAGAGCCGCAAGCACCTATAAGAAGTTGACGAAGAACGGTGACTTACCCGGTACGCTAAAGCAGTTTAGAAGGCAGATAGCTGTGAAGCTATTAAGCTATTAAGTTATGTAGCCTCGTAGTCGTTCGAGATTGATTGTCTTTTATAGGGTGCTTAATTCGTTTATTTCCTTTATCGCTGAGCGTTCCGTTATGTAATGAGGTTCCATTTCTGCTCGAATGGTTGCAGTTTCTTTCTTTTGTCACGTGTGTCTCACACACCGTAATAAACATATACATATACATGCATATATACTCGTTGAGTTCGCACCGCCACGTTTGAGTTGATCAGCTTACAGTGCATCGAAATGGGAACATTAACACAATGCCCGGTGTATCGAACGCTCCGTCGATTGGCCAGCCACTGTTTCTTCTCGCTTTTCAACTTTTCCACTTTTCTCTTCCGTTTTTCTAATGCGATTTCCAAACATCTCATTGTGGCCCTATAACTCTTGCCCCAGTCCAAATTTATTTGGATGTTGAAGCAGCATGTGCTCGGCTGACACTGATCCGCTCTACCTATTCAAAGGTCAAATGAATCAGCAACCCGTGTCGGAGCATGTACTGGTCCCTACACTCTTTCCTTTTTCTCTGATCACTTACAAATAGAGCCACTGCTCTCGTGAATTGGAGCTTGAAGACAAAACGCAGGCAGAAGTCCTGTGAACGACCCTTTTCAGTCTGTAGGATAGACTTTTAGAGGGCAATCACAGATGTGGCGCTTCCATGCACGGAAATCACCCGACAAGAGCGCTAGGGCCTTGCAAAGTAAGCTGCAGCAGCTGCAATTTTTTCTTATCAGGCTGTTGTCTGGCGCTCTCTCATCTGTAGCGCTCTCTCGCCTCATACTCTCCTCTCCGCGCTTAGTCTCTCATTCCCTTAGCACAGCCGATTAGGAAGGTGAGTGAGCCCTTAACCTGAGCGTTTTCGACGGATTCTTTTCCTTTTTTCTTTCTGCCGGCCCATTTCGCACCAATACATTCGCATTCGTGTGCAAGAACCACACCACTTTGATCCTGGGGCATGCCTTTGAAGACACGGTAGAACGGTAATGAAGGAAGAACAGAAGAAACACTAAGACTCCTAGAGATAGAGAACCGTCTCCTCCCCCCCCCCCCCCACTCCCCAAGCTGCGGAGGATTTCAAGGGCTAGACGGCGAGATAAGAAATACCGAGCAGCAGCGGAGAGAGAAAAGGGTCGGTGACGAGAAAGCATGGAAACCAGCGAGAGCTAATTTGGCCTATGACGTCAAAACGCTCGCGCATCCCCGGATACCAGCCACTTCCTGAAAATCGCTCAGAGACCCATAAAAAACTGAGTTTTTGTGGAAGTAATCGTGAGAAACAAAACTGAATTGAAACTTCATTAACAAATTGCTGCATAAACCTTAATGAGGAGCTATTTACGATGCTCCTCAAATCAACCATTTGAGAACACATAGGAGTACGTAATTTAGGTACAAGACATAGCGCATATCAGGGGAAGTGCTATTTAGTCGCGGATGGTGTTGGAGTTGGTGTGACGGCGACCGACGGTGGCGGTTCCCAGCGGAAAGCTTCGTAGCGATCATCAAACGAATTCATAAACGCCACCTTCGCTGCTGATTCGGCTGTCGCGCGATCCTTCTGTAACAAACACTGCTAAAATTTACTATTGGTATAACTATTGATTTTACGACAACTTCCTGTTTGAATAGTTCAAACTCCATAAACTCATTAAATTCTTAAAAAAGGCCACTAAATGTGGGAGATCGCGCTGGGCGTGTTGCAGACCGTGGCCAACCGTTAATGATACAGGGGTGTGTCCTATCCTTCCCTCAGGGAACATGTCCTCAGCCGCCAATTCTATCCCAAGGTTGGGGTAGGCAGGGCTGCGTCATAGGACCTGCCACATCTGTTCTTTCCAGCTTGCAGACAGCGCAGGGCGATCCTCAGAGACAACTGGCAGGTCCTACGACGCAACCCTGTTTCCCTCAACCTTAATATTGCACGACCCCACGGTACTGCCGACTTCAAGATGATTGAGACTTTTCAACTTCGTCCATCCTCACCCCTCTCGGAAATTTTGTCTGCTGCGGGCCTCAACTATTGAAACAGCAGAGACTAGGGTCATTTTTGGAATTTACCTAG